GGGGGGGGATACTACAAAAACACGGCACATACAGACAGACAAAATACCTGCACTGGCACTGCACATCATAGCTCTGTTAATTACAACCGACGAGAGATCTCATGTACCTAATCTTCTTTCCCGGCACTTGCATCCATTTCTTCAGCCGTACTGTATGTTGATAGGAAAAACGAGCCCTGATTTTTCCTCAGGAACCTGGATTAGGTTGTGGTATAGTGCATGCAAAACAAAAAAGAAACATACATAATTAAGGATATATACACACATACACACTACACATTTATGATGTATTTCAGCAAAGGGCATTTGATTTCATAAGTTTGCAAAACGGAATGCGGCTGCTCAGGTTCTTATCATGTTCAATTGGTAAATTTCAATCTTGCTGCTTGAATGTTTTTTAAAAGAGTAAGGACAAAAAAACAGAGAAATACTAGTGACTATTACCTGAGAATATCGACAAAGCTGTGCTGCAGTTCCTTTAACGTCTCTTCCGCCAAATTTACATGGATTAGCAACTCGGGCAATTTTACTGTGAAAGCCATATCAAGGGTTAAATTTGTATCGAAAGATAGTTCATCACCTAGGGAGCTAAGTATCCCTGGTATGTAGTTATTTTTTCTGCTAGATTTTTCATTTTCAGCTTCCCTACCAAGTAAACAATCTTCGTTTTTTGGGAAGAACTATAAACCAAAGACAAGGAAAATGTCATTACAGAGCTTTGAGAAATAGGAGGAAATAAAGCAAGTCATGAAACCGACTTGATTTTCACACTAAGAGTCAAGACAACTGACCTGCTAAGAAATGGCAAAAATAAGCTATGACATGATAAGCACAAATAGAGTAACTCTAACAGAAAAATGAAGAAGGATGACCTTACCAAAAAGGCGTAACAAATGCTCGGCCCCATACACAGTTGAGGGAGAAACATCACTGGATATGGTTTCCTCAAATTGCTTGCGTTCATTTTTGTAAAGCAACATTGCGGGCAACGCTTTGTCAAAGTAACAACGCAAACCTTTCAGAATTTCCCCAACTGAGTCAGTTACCCTACGCCAACCGAAGAAGTTAGTACATCGTAACCCTAGTATACTCTATCCACCTATTAAATCACAGACAGGCTGCCAATGGAGCATCTATCTATCATTACTACTTGATCATTATATGAAAATGGCAACATGTAAATATATGTTGTGATGACAGCACTATTCTTGGAAACGGAAATGTAAAGAGAGAAGTTACCCCCCATGTTTCTTTGTTTTCCATTCAACATACTTCTTCAAAATGTCATCCACGTTCGGAGAACGAGGAAGTTTAACAAGCTGCACAAATAATGCCCAAGAATGCGATCAGTTCCTTAAAAGCTGGAAGAAATAATTCATAACAAGTATAACCTGTGATTGCATAAATAGTTTTTCTCTCACAAATGGAAAAATCAATAGAAGAAAGCTCATGACCACATAGACACTGAAAAGAAAATCATGGAATTCGAGGAAAGAAAGAAACTAAAGACAAATGGCTGACAAAAAAACGAATTTCACGTAGGAAGGAAAATGGGTCTTTCCATTCGCATTAGCACAGAAATTAACACTACCTTTTTCATGTGGGTAACATATTCACAGTCATCAATTAGTTGCTTCCTTAAAGCCGGTGGAATGTGAAAAGTTACAAGCTTGTCTGACGAAGCTGCATTTTTTTCCTGTGGTCGACAAACACCGGTTCACGTTAAACTCTCATGTCATGATCCAAACGTAGAGAACCATAACTCGATGCGAAGAAAATGGAAGACCAAGCAAAACACTTCCGGCAACAAAGAGAATACCTTATCAATGGAATCTTGCTTTCTCTTTCTTCCTCTTGCAACTGCAAAAGTCAGGAAGATGTAGAAAAAATGATCAGCCGACCAAACAGCATATAACAGAAAACAAAGAGCCACACCAAGCCCAGAAAGCATGGTAATATAAAACAATAGTGCATGTATTCATATTCCATCCCCAACCCCACGTTGTTTGACATTGTAGTACAATCTCTGCCTCTTCCATTGACCTGAAAACAAATAACGCGTGGAACTTTAAGAAGAAGAAAAGAAAAAAACTAACCATTAGGGCTTCTAGGTTTCATCTGTGACACTCTCCAAGCCATTGCATTCTTTAGTGTTCCTAGCTTCTTATTAAGTTCCTCCTGTTTCTTGATATTCTCCTCGGTACGTTTCATCAGACGATCTAGACCTATCCACTCGTCCCAACTGTTAGGAAAACACATAAAAAAGGACAACAAAAGAAGCAATCATTATACAAGGTGATGCAATTGTGATAACCTAATCATTTTAGATGCGTTGCAAAATCAAAATCCGGACAAACAGCAGATTTGGAAGATTACTATATCTCAAGCTAATGTTTTTTTTTTAATTCATGAAAACCCTTTAATATAAGACAAGGATACAAAACAAATAAACAAGCTATAGAGAACTAAATTGAAGGAGATTGCTTGCATAAAACGATATGATATCCAAACTGATATATGATGCGACATATCAATAACAAGATCAGAGAGAGCTCTACTCACTTCTTGTTCCAACCCTGCGAAAGAAAATAAATCACGTCATCGAAACGAATGTGCAATTATGAAAAAAGAAAAGATAAAAGTAGAACAGCTGGTTTTGAATGACAAACGGCATATTCAACATATACTCACCATGTAATGCACGAAAAACTTCCATTCCTTGAATCGATAGTCCGATTTAAGCACCTGGATACGAAATATACATACAACACACAAAAAATAACCATAATCATCACCCGTTTCACACCAAACACGATTAGTCGACCAAAATCACCAGATGGGCAACGAAATCCTAAACTTTCCTGGCAAAATACAGCAATTTCCGAGATAATCAGAAGCAAAAAAGGGAAATCGGAGTCACCCTGGCATCGTAGATGCTAGAGCTGTGGGAGGCGAGGACTTTCTCTCCAACTTCGAAGGGGCTCGAGGCGGGAGGGCAAGAAAGGTCGTCCTCGGTCTCCGTCTCGGTATCGGACTCGGTGTCAGAGCCGGCGGGGAAGGCGGAGGGGAGGTCAGAATCGGTGGCTGAATCGTCTTTTGCGGCGGAGCTAGGGCTAGGCATCGTCGTGGATTCCAGGACGGATCATGAACAGAGAGAACTAGGGATTTCGACGGAGTGTGCGTTGTATGTGTGTTGCAGACGAAAATTAGGCGGCAAGAGGAATTAACCGGACCCCCGCCCCCCGGTCTTTGTAAACTAGGTGCCACGTGTCAGGTTTTTTTTGGTTATCCGGTTCTGGAATTTAGAATTCGATATCCGAGTTGTATTTTAAATTAAATGATAAATCTATTTTCTATATACAATATATCGATTATCTATAAAATGTAGTATATGGATAACAATTTTTTCGTATGTTTTCATTCATTTGAAACCAAGATTCTATTTGCGTGTTTCTATTGCTAGTTGTTATGGAAAACATTCCATGTTGATAGACATTTTCTATTGCAGGAAAAAATATTAAAAATACAAAATAATGACAAATCAGTTTTTAATTTTAAAACAAAATAACTCGTTTTATCAAATTTTATTTATCTATCTAAAAAGGTTTGGGCCGAGATTTCTCAGCCTTATCGGGCCTTTCCCAACACGTGGCACTGATCCAAGTGCTTGGGGAATTACTCTACAATAATGTTTATTTTATTCTGTTTGGGCCCAATAAGTCGATTATGATTTCATTAACAATCGGATGTTAAATTATCAATCATCAAACTGGAAAAAATACGAACTTTTTATGAAACTATTCAAAAAAAAAACTACGTTTTATTCTATCAGAATAAATTGTTGAATAATTTTAGTTTGTATAATGTTTCCACGAATGATACAATATCCAAATTAATCAGAATAAAACAAAATCTAATCAGATTAATTATATATTAGATTTAATAATTCTCTTTTTTAAAAATTGCTATTCGTCAAGTTGAATTTTAATGAATTCCCTATTTTACCCTTCCATTGTGTCTCACGGACACGGACCGACAACAATTACCGAAACAAAAGTCAAAAAGGCTTTGTTTGTTGGTTTGTTTTTCTTCTTATTAATATTCCCAAGCCACGATTGGTGTTTGAACGCCAATTCAAATGAAATTCCACTTTTAATACAACAATTAAATGCCTCTGATTTCTTTTCATATTAATAATTACATAAAAAAATGTACTCCAATATAATATTTACACAAACAATCCGTTTTATATTAAGAAACCGTTCAAAATTCGTTACAACAAGATGGACGTACTACTTGTACATGAAATTAATATGAATGGAACCCTAGTGCATATATATTTTCATAAAAGTCATTTTAAATAATATTTAGTAATGTTTCTACTTTGTAATAAGAAAAGAAACTATTACAAGTTTTCACATTGGGTGGTCGTCGTTAATATATGTGAATATGGAACATAAGGAAATGTATTTTATTTTTATTTATATAACATTTTAAAAGAAAATAAAAAGTCCAACAACATGCCATGTATGGCAAAGCAAAAGCTTCGAAATTTCAGCAGGTATACAGGTTACTCCCAGGCCGTGGTGTCATTCGTCTGGTCCCCTAGGCTGCGAGGCGTTGCCGAATCCGGTCCGAAGAAAAAGGTGAGTTCCCAAACGTTAACATACAAAGGGGTGATGTGCTCGGATGATCCGAAGGACAGGAGCACGAGGAGGAGAAATATGGGAAATAATGACACGGAGAAAAAGGCTTATAATTAAAAGGGCATAAAGAAAAGCAAAAAGTTCAACATTCTTGGTCAAGAAAAGCCTCTTGTTACACACACACACACATATATATGTATATATATATATATATATACATACACACAAACGCAGGATCACTCTCAACAACTTCAATCACATACCCATTCAATCGAGAGAGAGAGAGGGAGAGATGGAGATGGAGAGGAAGAAGAAGGCATTGGTGGTGGTGGGCATGATCTTGATGGTGCTGTCATTGAATTTACGTGAAGCTGAAGGCAGAGCCCTACGTTCAAAGGAATCAGAGATGGACGGCTGTGAACATTCCACCACGTCCCTGGGTGGTCTTGGCTCCTTCTCGGTGGCTGTGGCCGGACCCAACATTTCGAGTGTTCGTCCTCTGATGATGAGTTTGGCTTCGGGCCCAAGCAGGAGAGGCCGTGGACATTGAAGCCTATATATATATATATATATATGTAGTGATCAAATATGTATATCTATACATGTTTTTTGTCATATCAAAACGATTGATTGATTCATTCAATGTGATGTTAATTGGTGGAATTATGACATACACACCAACAATGCACCTAGTGTAGTTTTTCTTTTTCCATTTTATCATTTGAAATTCATCGTATCTTTGTTCCAACTACAAGGATCGAAAAAGTCTGAATGAATATCCATCTCTTCCTATATATGAAGACTCGAATCTATGTTGGAAATGAATTTTGTTCTTTTCCTTACCAGTTGAACTATCCAATCCTTGGTTTAATAAAAAGCTATTTGATAATGAATTGTATTACAAAAGATTCGATTCAGACAAGATGAATAGATTAGGTGGGATAAAGGAAGATGGGTGTTACAGGACGTAACGCCAAATAACATTAAATTTACTGGTAATAGAGTTGATGAAGCTAACCTAACTTCAGGCCTGAAATTTAAAACAAATTGAGTCAAAATCGATTAAAATTATAAAATTCATTTTATTAAGCTTAACCTGATATTTTATATTCGATTTGAAAAACTTTTACGGGGTCAATGAAATCAAGCCAACATGTAACACGAGAGACAAGAACTTGGAATATGTTATGTGGTTTTGGTAAGGATATTCAAAGCCTGAGAAAACAGGTAGTCTCTGTTCAAACCAGATAAAGAAACGTGTTTTACACGGAAAAACAAAAAACACGATTCTGCATATGAGATTAATTACACGATTAAGATATGTTTAACACTAATCTCTGCGTTAAGCAGAAAACGTCGATGCCCTCAAAAAGACCAAAATACCCCTAGTGACATGTAAATATTACAAAAATAACCTTAGAATTCATTCACCGGTACCCAGCCTGTGCTCGCTAGAACTTATCTGGCGTTTAGCAGCACATTCAGAGTAGTAAGAAAAACTTCTACATAACTCTTTTGCTATACCTACATGATAGAAAGAATAACAAAACAACTCTTCAATTACACGCATATGCTTAAAAAGATACAAGAAGAACTGCCACTTCCCCTGAAAGCTAATCAGCTCGGGGTTTCCATGTGTATTGTCTTTTGTTACGCGGTCCTGGGGACAATGGAATGGAAGCTTTCCCCCCTCCAAGACAATGAAGCTTCTGTCTGTAAGAAGTTTCCGTATATGTCGGGTCGTGCCGTTATTGCTTGAGTTCGAGAGATGTGATGAATCGATTTTGATTCCCGGGATCTTTTCCCTTTTTATGTAACGGAGTTTCTTCGGGGAAACTAGCTTCCGGTCGGAGATATCCTTTTGGGGAGTTCTATGGAGGACCAAGAAGAATGAGCCGAGCTGCTGTGTGAGACGAGGTAGATTATGAATGCTACATAAGCAGCAGTGCCGATGCAGACCGCGGATCCAAATAGAAACCCGTCAACTTCAGACACAAAGAAATCAAACAGAAGATACCCATTGATGATTATTACAAGGGCAGCAACTGTCCAGGCTAGTCTCTGCAATATAGATCCACAGGAATGAGTAAACAGATCTTAAAAAAACAAGTCTTGGGCAGATGGGTACAAGAGTCATGGCACAACTGAAAGCATGATTGATTAAGCTTTTAGGCAAGAAGTAATAATTGGTATGATTTGTCTTGCAATCATAAAGAGCATAAGACACTAACCCTAGCAGTAAAATGAACAATACAATGATCTAACCTAGTTAAAAGAAAGCAAACAAAGGACACTTTGTCGTAAGCTCTCTAACCATTTTAGGGATTACTCAAGCAATTATACTATTGTGTCCTTACAAAGAGAAATATTTAAGGCACTCCGAAATAACCCAATTTAACGAAAACATCGATAGATAACAAAAATTTGATTGGTACTACACAAATGTTTGCGTATATATAGAAAAACTTTACCTCGAGAATAGGTCCAATCTTGAAGACTCCCATTATCTCCTCCTTGGCTACCAAGGTTAGAAGGGGAAGAAGAGCAAACGGAATTTGTATGGACTGAAGCACATTAAGCCATTCATTCAAAACATCCAAGGAAGCTTCAGAAGTATTGAACACTATGGCCACGATCATGGTTGGCACAATCGCGCAGCTCCGTGTTATTAGTGCCCTCAACCATTTCTTAAGCCGAATGTTCAGAAAACCGCCCATGATAAACTGCCCAGCATATGTTCCAGTTATTGTACTACTTTGCCCAGCAGCTAACAATCCAATACCCCATATATAAAGAATCGGGAGAAGCCCACCTCCGAACTTCTCCTCAAGATACTGCCCAGCATTAACTAGTCCTATGTTGTTAGCTTGGTCAGTACCGTAAAATCCCTTGGCAAAGACGGTAGTCACAAACAAGTTAATCATGAAGGAGATGAAAAGGGCAATGGTAGACTCGATCATATAGTAATTTAATGCCTCTTGAACACGGCCTTTCTTCTTCGGATCAACTTTCCTTGACTGCACCAGAGCCGAATGCAAAAAAACATTGTGAGGCATTATGACACAGCCCACAACACCTACAGCTTGCCTAATTGTTTTCGAGCTAAGTCTTGGAAGTAAAATCCCTATCACACCCGATGCACAACAAACGAAAAAGGCGTCACAGAGGGTTCTCTTTCTAACAATCAATTACAGAAAACAAACTTCAAATATGAAGATAATGAATGTCTCACCTATCAGAAGTTCTTTTCCACTCGGCTTGGTCTCACCGAACATCCAGGCAAAGGACATAGCCATTGTTGCGATCAAAACTGCGAAAACAGCTTCTAACTTCCTCACACCATAATTCTCTAAAAACAAAAACGCAAAACTGTTTGCAACAGATGTAAACAATCAATCAGCATTCGTACACTACTCATCAATCATCATCAAGGAAGAACTTGATAGTAGAAGAGAATTCGAAACCCAGATTCTGTTTAAGGCAAGTGTTCCACCCAAAATTTAGAATTGAACTTCGAGGATTTATAGTTCAGGATTGACATTTTCACTGAAGCTTAAACGAAGAAAACCGAGCTTCAAATTAACCCAAGAAATTGAGAGATCAAGGACCAGAGCTATTCAACTGGTACGAAGCAAAATCTCACTGAATTCATCTAGAAGAAACATAAGTCATAATATCCTGCAATGAAGATCAAGAACAGTTCCAAGGGCTCACCAATCCGACGCCGTAATCACAACACCGGCCCAAAGCGGCAAAACGCCGCGGCTGAGAATCTGAATAGCAATGGCACTGCCGATAACTTCCTGAATGTCAGCTCCGATCAGAGCAATCTCCGCCATCGACCAAAGCACATACCTCGCCCATGTCGGGTACTCTTCCCGGCAAAGCTCCGCGAGATGTCGGCCAGTGGCGACGCCGATCCGAGCTGACAACATCTGAATCAGCAGTCCCATGGCGGTGGCCCACATCAAGAGCCATAGCAGTGAATAACCCGCAATCGCTCCCGCTTGCAGATCTCCCTCCAGATTCCCCGGATCTAAGAACGCGATGCTCATCAGGAACCCAGGGCCAGTGAACAACCACAGCTCCCGCCACGAGAACGGTGGCGGTGCGGCGTCTCCGGCGGCGGAATCGAGAGATTCCGCGTCGACGATGACGATTTTTTCTTTGGATTCGAAAGCGACATCGGATTCGACATCATCAGAGTCTTCGGACGAGGAAGAGGACGAGCTCGACGGGAGGGTTTGGGGAGGGAGAAGAAGATCGGATTCCATTTCCTCCTCGCCAACGTTAACGTCGCCATCTTCGTTGGTTGTCGGAGAAAGCATGTTGTGGGCGGAAAGGGAATATTCCGTCTGACGCGAAACGGAATATTCTCCCGCCGGTGTATGGAGGTTTCCAGTGAGCTTTGCTTGGATCAGGACTCGTTCTTTTCAAGATGTATAAAAGTAAACATTCTCGTCCGTCCAAGAACTGTTACAAGTTACAACTATATCAAACACATTGAAATAATCTAATTTTATACACAAAAATAGAAATACATTATTAGATAATTTCATCCCAAATACTTACCAATAGTTAGTATTTATATGTTCTATCTTATTATAACATTTATTTCCGACCCTTCAAATATGACCACGTATAATCGGATCCATAGAATATATTTTCATTTTCCAATAAAATTGTTCTTACGCCAAAATCGGATTATATATACCATAAAAATTGAATGGGATGAAAATAAACGATGAAACAAATAAAACTATAAATAATTAACAAATAGTTGGTATAAAATTCTTTAAACAATAGTTTTTTATTATATGTTTAATTCGAATGGATGATTTTATAAGTTTGTGTAATATTAGGTAGTTTATAGAAGAAGAAAAAAGATTTTAACATGAACTTATTATATTAGCCAGGATTGGACACAAATACCCGAAAATTTGATATTCATCGGATATCCGTAGATATCCAATTTTAGGATACTCATATTATTTAAATCTAAATCCAAATCCAAATTTTTCCATATCGAATCTGAATCCTAATTCAAATAATAGAATTTTTAAAATCGAATAGTCAATTAATATGTTATAAATAATTATATCTTATATCTCTATAATATTTTTATAAAATATAATTATTTTAGTTTAAATAATTTTATATTTTTTAATAATATCTAAAAAACAAATTTATTATTATTTATATTTTATTATCTCTTTTAATCTCATATTTTTACCATAATTCATCTATTTTTTAAATATATATTCATTTTTAAAATTTTATATATAAATATTATTATTTTTTAAATAAAGCTGGATCCAAATACCCGCGAATACCTGAATAATATTCCGAATATCCGTGCACCGTATACTCGTAAACCTCAAATACCGGATACAAATCTTATAATTAAATAAGTGAGTCTTTTGGATCCAAATCCAAATATTCTGATTTTTCCGGATATTCGACTCGTATTCAACCCTAATCTTAGAAAAAAAAAAAAACCACGAACTAATTTATTAATTGGAAAATTATGAATTATTTTAAATTATTAAACACCTATTCATATATGTGTTGTTTGACTGCTATTTTCTATATTGAGTGTTATTTGCGGAAAAAAAAAATAGTTTGCGTTTTTAGTAAAACAAAGAAATTAGATTTTTTTATAAAATTTTACATACACCAGTTTAAATTTTATTTATTTTTGTTTTTCTAATGTAGACGTTTTGCTTTGTGGTCGAAGATGTTCCCTTGATCTTTACATAAAATAGATAGAAAAGAAGTTAAAGAACATTGGTAACAAAATAAAAATAAAATAAAATTGTAAACGTAAGTGTATTATTCACGTTAGTCTGGATGCAGCTGCGAACAATTAACTAAATCAAGTTGTGAGATATTATTTGTACATTTTTGTAAAGGGTACAATAAATAAAATAATAAATTAAACAAATAAATAATATTTTAAAAAAATCAAATTACTTGCTAAAGAAAATCAAAAGTAAAAGCCTTTTTTTTTTGCAAATTGTGTTCGGATAAAAATTTGAAAAGGTACGTTCCTAATCATAAGTCAATGCTGACATTCCATGGACCGGTAATTGACACATCGATTCTATAACTTACATCGAATATATATATGGTTATACAACACATGAAATGCATCTTGAATAATTAAATATTCAAATGGCTATATTTTTTTAATCAGAATTTAATTTTCACAAATTTATAATCCTTCATCTGAAATAAATTATATTTTTTTTTATGATCGTAACCATACACATCATGTAAAGTCAAACAAAATCATTTATTTTGTCCGCGAGCGCATTATAGATTTGGTTCTAGTTATTTTCAAATTAAATCTTTTTCAAATTTTTTTGATGAAGTAAATCTTTTTCAATTTGAATATTATAACCCTTTTTTTTGTATCTATCTCTTTTCAACTGATTTTTCTAAGCATTAGGGCTAATTCAAAATTTTATCTCCAAATTTGTTATTTGAAAAAAAAAATATGTTTACATTCATTTTCTTTTATATTGGATCTACATTTGTATTTAAAAAAATACATGTTCATTAAGTTTTTCTATAAAAATCTCGATTTGAACATACTACTATAATGGAATAATTGTTGTTTTTTTTAATAATGGAATAAAAACGGCCAATCAAAAAATTAAAAATATATTTATGATGCACGTAGGCCCCACGTAAGAGCCTTTAGTTCAGATCTCTTGGTGACATTATTTTATTTATTTGTTTATTTATTAAGTTTTATCTTTTTCAATGTTTTTTTTATTTGTATGAGAAGGAAACTTAACTATAAATATGCATGGAGGGATTAAGTTCCTCGGCATATGAGTTTCAAACGTATTCAACCTCTTGGCAATTAAGTAGGTCATTAATCGTATCCTTTAGTCTCCTTAATCTCTTCTTCTTTCGCTCTAATCTCTCCTTTAATCGCCGTTATCTCTTTCGCCCTTTTTTTTTTTTAATTTCTCCTCTTATTTATTCCCTTAACCCCAAATCAAATCTTTGGAGTTAAACCTCAATCTCTCTTTTTTCCTTTTGCTCCTCCAACTCCGCTTGATTCGCCCTCCGTTCTTGATCATGGACAAGGGTAAGGGATTGGCTTCCGGCGACTGGTTTCCGGCGACGTCCGCGTCCGCATCTGCGTCTGGGTCAGCGTCAGCGTCAGCGTCCGAGCCGCCGCCGGAGAGCTCTTTGGCTCATGAATGGCTCTCGGACTTCATTGATTACCGCCACTCGTATGGAGGAGCTTGGGGGTTTTCCCCTTTCTCTGATTTGCAAACCCTAGAATCCGGGTTTTCCCAACTGGGTTTATCCGATTCTAACGACCGTGGTGGCCGTCCTCGTCTTCATCATCCGCCGTCGCCGCTATGGAACAGTGGTCTCTATCAGGGCTCTTACGACTTTCATGGAATCAATGTGGATGGGTGCAGGGCTCCTCCGGCTCAGCAAGAAGCAGAGCGTGAACAGATCAATCAGCAGCTGCAGATGAGACTTGGTTTTCAGAACGATTGCGTTAATGGGTCTTTTGGGTTTGATGATTCTAGGCATAGCAATAGTGTCATGGGTCAGGATCGGATGCTTAGCAATGGTTTCCTCAATGGTAATCTTGGGGAAGTTCCTTATCCCCCAAGAAATAATAGTGTCTTGGATCAGAACCCCTGGCCTACTTCGAATAGTGCCATGTTTAGGAACCGTAATTCAAGGGGTAACAACCGTCCCAATTTCGCGTCTCTGCAGAGACCGGCGAATATGGTGATGACGCCTAAGCGTCAAATGTTTTATGAAAATATGGTTGCTGCTATTGAGGGGCCAGAGAGGAGCTTTGTTTGGAGCTTCAGCAATGTCGTCTCCCATGTTTGTGAACTGATGGTGGACCCTTTTGGTCAACATGTTTTCAAGAAGTGTATTGAGAGATGCACTAAGGACCAGATCACTCAGATTCTGGGCGTGGTCACTAGGAACCCTTTTCATCTTGTTAACATCTGCAATGACTTTCAGGGGTACGAAACATGATGTTCCCATCGATTTGATCTGCATTATGGTACAGATAAACCATTCATTGTTGCTTGTTCTTTTGGTATGATCTCATTAGCGTAACCAGTCACATTCCATCAGAGATGTGATCTTCGACTGCATGGCATAGTTTTGATGAAGCCCATGTTCAGAATTTCGATTCTTTTCTTTGTTTCGACCTCTAATTTGGTCATTGTCTTTTTTCGAGAGATAACAGGGCTCGCTCAATAGAAGAGCTGCTGAGACATCTAAGGTCTCGAGAGCAAATATCCCGCTTCATGATGGCGGTAAGACCGGTAGCACTTCGTTTGACTAAAAATGCCAACGGCAACCATGTGATTCTGCACTGTTTGAGCCATTTCTCTCCTCTAGACAACATGGTAAACTTCTCCTTCTGCTATGATGTTCTTATAGCATTCTCTTGAAGTTGGGTTTCTCACCGTGTGAACCTCTTAAAGTTTTAAGTTGATTATGAATATGGATATTGTCTACTAGCTTTATGTCCAGGTTTACACACAAACTTTGCCATACCATAACTCTTTTACTTGTGCTACAAGAAAAGGGTGCTAATAATAAACCAGAATCAATATATCCAAATGGATTCCAATCCAATCTTCTTTTTGTTTGTTTTTTTTTCCTTAAAAGAAGCTTGGGATGCCTCTCCAGTGATATACTCTCATAAATTTTTTGTTGTAATTTTTGCAGCATCTTCTTGAAGTGATTGCTCAGCATTGCTTTGAAATTGCCATTGATCAACATGGTTGTTGCCTGCTTCAGGATTGCATTACACGCTCCACGGGCAATCTAAGGCAACATCTGATCTACAATATAGCCTCGAATGCTTTGAGACTCTCTAATCACTGCTATGGGTAAAACATGAAGTCATTTTACTGAACCTTAAAACGATTACTCACACCATCATTTCCGTCTGTTGAACGAGTTTTTTTCTTCTCCTTCAGAAACTTTGTGGTGCAGTTTGTGCTGGACGTGAATGATCCAGGGGCAACTTCTGAAATCCTGAGACAGCTTGAAGGAAGTTACATTTATCTGTCTCGCGAGAAGCACGGCAGCCACGTTGTCCAAAGTATCTTGAGAAATTTGGGGAAAGAAGGTTCCAGAGGAATCGTATTGCAGCTCCTTACAGACATCAAGACGCTTCTTATAGACAAGTTTGGAAACTATGTCGTGCAGAGCATGTGGGCTGAATCTAAGGTACCACCTTACAAATCTCACTTCCCTCACATGATCATGTAATGTATTATTCGTACATACATACATACATACATGCATACATACATACATAGCTGTTCATCTGAGAAGATTCTGAGATCAATTGTCTTTAAAATCATGCACTTGCTTTCTAACGGCAGGATGATATACGCAAGGTGTTGATGAATATTTTCCGAGAGAACAAAGAACTGATGACGTGCAGTAGGTTCGGTAAGATTATACTGGAGAAACTCAATCTCTTGTGAGGTTACCAGAGAAAAAGGAAAGGAAAAGACTTGAGTTCTTGATTGAGTGTTATGATAGGAAGATGAGCAGTATTGTTCTTATGGTCATTGGGTTTGTTTTTTTAAAATGTAGGATTATCTGTTGTTTTTGTCATGAAACCAGTCGAATGTTGTTCCTTTAGGACAATTAGTGGGTTTTGATTAGAGTCTTAAGACACAGGAGGCGGCTTTTTAGTGTTTGATCTCACAACCCATCAAATAAATGATATGGGTAAAGGAGTGTTGTTTGGTTTCTTTTGTGGACAAAGACATCTTCTATTGATTCATCTTCCCTTAATCTTTAGGACCATTTAATCCCATCTTGGTAGTTGTGTTACTACATTTGTTGGATTTCTCTTTTTTATTTCTTCTAAAAATTATTTTATTTTAGGCTGCCCATTTAGCCTCTAGTTGTTTTAGGTGTGTCCAAATGACCGCGCTGATCTGGCTTAGCCTGAGTCCGACACACCCGAATATTTATGGGCCAGACCGACCCGATCCAAAACATGATCGGGCCGGACCTAAAACTTTCGACCGAAGTCCGGTCCCTATGAACTTTATGTTTGAAATATAGCGAGTAGCTCGTTGTGTAGTGTTGTTTCCAATATTTTCATCTCAACGTTGACCGAGGTGAGGTATCATCATCATATATACTTAGGTTACTACTCCTTCTTGGATCCCTAATGCTCTTGCTCTCGATCGTCACAAAAATATTTATGTAAGAACAAATTTAATATTAGAATAAAGGTATTTAACAATTTTATCTAAATTTTTTATAAAAATTTATAAAGAAATTAAATTTTTGTTAGTTAAACAAACGAAGAATTAAATGGTTCGGAGGAGTACGATTCACACCATTTATAAAAACGGGATATCCTGATTTTCTGCATAAACAAAATGCATACTATTATATAGAGCTTAAGAAATGTATAATTCTTCGAGAGATCATAGATTTGATTCCATTCTCCAACGAATTTTTGGATGTTTATATATTCTACGTGGTATGCATACTGCTTGAGAGTTTATGACCACGTGCGAAAAGTTCAATTATGAATGGATATTTTCATATTAATCTTCGTTTGCTTTTGGATTAGCGTCGAAACGGTACCAAGCCTCGTCGTTGGTTACATTTATTTCATGTTTGGCCATGGTCGAAACTCATATATCTCAAATTTATAAATTCAAGTTCTTACTCTAAATTTTAAAATTCAATTTATTTGACCAACAAACCCAAAAAAAAAAGAGAAATAATTTGTTATTGCATTTAGATTCGGAATAAAATTATCCTAATATTTAGGATATTGCGAACTAAAAAAGAGCAGCCATTAATCTGCTTAATTAACTTAATCATTTGTATTAGAGAAAATCCAAAAAAAATACTGAACTTTACAATTTTGACAAAAAAAACACTAAATTTTAGTTTTTGTCAAATATGGTCGAAACTCATATATCTCAAATTTATAAATTCAAGTTCTTACTCTAAATTTTAAAATTCAATTTATTTGACCAACAAACCCAAAAAAAAAAGAGAAATAATTTGTTATTGCATTTAGATTCGGAATAAAATTATCCTAATATTTAGGATATTGCGAACTAAAAAAGAGCAGCCATTAATCTGCTTAATTAACTTAATCATTTGTATTAGAGAAAATCCAAAAAAAATACTGAACTTTACAATTTTGACAAAAAAAACACTAAATTTTAGTTTTTGTCAAATAAACATTAAACTTTTTAAACCAGTCTAAAAAAACACTGAACTTTTTAAATGATCCAAAAAATACATAAACTTTTCTGCGACTGAACTTTTTTAGTGATCCAAAAAAATACATGAACTTTTTCCGATTGTAAAAAAACTAAATAAAATAATCTGACGTGTTTGCATCTAATTGAGTCATGTCATCTATTTTGTTTATTTTGACAATCGTAGAAAAGTTAAGTGTTTATTTTGTCAAATTTAAAAAATTTAATATTTATTTAACAAAATAAAAAATTCAGTGTTTTTTTTGTCAAAATTGTAAAGTTTTTTTTTTTTTTTTGGATTTTTCCTTTGTATTATTAATCTTATAAGCGACACTAATACCTCCATCATTCAAACTTCTCCTTTTGTTCTCGTCTCTGAGAAGAGAAAATGGTGCTCACAGACTTCAACGGAGTCGGGGTTGGATTCGGTATATTCCCATTTTTTCCGTATTTTGCTTTCGTTTCCTTATAATTTATTTCGGATTCGACCCAAAATCTGTGAATTCGATTTGAATCTCCCATTTCTAGGGTTTGGTGTTGGTTGTGGATTCGGCATCGGGTGGGGTTTCGGAGGTCAGGTTTCACCATCTCTCTCAATTCCATTTTTCCTTCTTCCAATTTTGGTTATGATACGACGATTCTGGAATTTGTTCCAGTTTCTGCTGATAGATTTCGTGCGTCGAGATGGAATTTTCTGAATATTAGCTTTGGAATTCCTTAAATGACGATGAACATGAACTGAAATTCGATGCTTCGTGAACGAAAAATGCACCAATGAGGCTTGTGTTTTGGTGATCAAAATGTTTTGTAATAGATGAAGAAAGATTTGAGAGTGTGATCTGAAAGAAATAAAAAAATTAAATCGTTTACTGATAGAATTAGCTCCATCTTTGGCACTTGATGATAGCCTCTTAATTTGATTTTTTTTTCCCAGTGGAGTTCTTTCTCGGGTGGAAACATGAATTGCTCCATTGATAATTTGATCCAAACGTTTCCAAGACTTTCTCTGTTTTTGTGTTTTTCCTTTTTGTTTCCTTGTTCTCTTGCATCATTCAATTGATAAAAAAAATAGAAAAGGGACGAGCTTTGTCCTTGCAGAAAGGACTAAACTTTACATTCTGCAGCTACCATAACTAATTGATATAGAAATATGGGTATTGTCTGTTTGCTTAAAGTGTGGATCAAATTTTCAATATATATGCTAATTGGATTGAATATCTTTTGTTTGATCTCTCCTTCAGGAATCCCTTTGAACATCTTAGGCCTTGGTGCAGGTAAATCAAACAGAGCCTCTAGTTCCATTAGGTTTATGTATCTCAACAACTTGCTCAAGTATATAGAGTGATGCTATTTTTTTTTTTCATCTTGTTATTAAATCCGAAGTTGTTTTATATTGTGATTTTCTTGTCGGAAGGCGGTGGCTGCGGGGTGGGGTTAGGGCTCGGATGGGGTTTCGGGACAGCCTTTGGGGGCAAATATCGATCATCTCGGGTAACTTTTGAAGGCGTCGAGTTTGAGAAGAAGGATAAATTCGAGCACAATAAGACGCAACACGTTTCGAAAAGTACCTAAGTAAGTGTTTTGGTTCTTCACAACGAAGTTCATAGTCTGCATCTTCATTCATACGAGAGATAGATATGTCGGAATCTTTTTTCGAGAGAGGGAAACCATTGCAAGATTTTTTTTTTTTTTACTTTCTTGAAATGGCAAATGCCATGGTTTGATGTTTAAAAGAGATGGCCGTCCCTATGTTGTATCCCTAATCTGATAGATAGATAGAAGAAACGAAAACAAAAATGACTTGAGTGCTTTGGTGTTTAAGAAAATATTGAATTGAATTTTAAATCAATAAAGAAAATATCGAGATATAGATTTGCAACAATAATAATGTTGAGGTTAACATTAGTCTACGGTTCTAAATCTTAGTTTCCCTCCCACTAAACGGCGATATTTATCATAATTCTCCATCGTAAAGTCTATACAATTTGATACAATGCGACACTACCATCAATCAAAGCAAACAAACAAAAAAACACTTTGTGAAGTTCTGCAGATTACCTCGTCAGGATCACAAGCCATCAAGTCAGCTTGTAACGCCTTTGTGACCTTTTTCCGACCGCCGGGAATCTCCTGCGATATCGGAACTTACATCCCGTAGCCGGGCGGGATTACCAAATGCGGGGTTTTGCAGCCGTTCTTCGGACTTTTCTTGCAAACCTTATGTTCTTTCGGGTGAACCCTCGGAGCTGATTCTATTGTACAGACGGTATACTAGAGTCGACTTCGACATTTGAGGCTCTCTTTCCAGTACAGCGATAACGTCCTTAACTGAGATCGCACGGACCACCTTCGGATGAGCAGTTGTCGAACCTTGGTTCTTGCCTAATTTCCTGCCAGCCCCTGTTGTAAGAAAAAAACAGAAATATGAAATGAATTCCATTTTTCCCACAAGCAAACCAAAATTTTGATTATACTTCTTCTAAAGAACAATTCAAGAAGAGAAACCCGTCCTATTGTTTCCTTGTTTCAAGCCAATTCGAGTAATAGAATCGGCTCACCTGTTGCAGAGCCACGCCGTCCTCCCTCCTGACCATCCTTGGAGTTCCTTCCTGCCGCTGAAGCAGATTTTTTATTTCCGTCTTTAACGGATAGAGAAGTAGATGTACCATCGGCTCCTCCCTCGCGTTTCTGGCGAGCTTGCTCTGCCATGAGTTGCCATCTCGATGCCATGTCATCTCCTCCGACAGCTGCTCTTGCAGCAACGTTCGCAGCCGTGGTTCTCATTTTATCGTCTTCCTCTTTGTTCGCCTGCTTGTCAGAACAACACATTTCGATACGATTTTCAAAGGAAACTTACACAGCTCCATATACAAATTATTTCGTCCTCCTCGATACCTTTGGCAGCTTTGAACGACTATCTTCTTTATCCTTCTCACTATCGACTCCACCATCACCTTCGGGCTGCACACCGAGGAAAGTGAAAGGGAAACAGATTATCAAGGCATGATATTGTAGAACATTACAATTAAAGATGAAAAAATAGGATATGAGCTCGGAAACAAACTTCATTCATTTTCTTGAGCTTTTCTGCCTCGGCTTGTTTCTTCTCCCTTTCTTCGTTCACCTTCTGATTCATTTCGTTGATTTGTTGCCGGATATCTGATGTGATAACAGTCCGATGTCTAGATTTCTCAGCATCAACCCGCTGAAAAAGTACCTTTAACTTAAGAACCATATTATAGCTTATGGTACAAAGAAAAAATTGAAGCAGGAGGCAGAAGGAAAGAAAAATAAGACGGACCTGCTTGGACAACCTGATTATATTAGATATTAGTCCACGCATCCTTTCCTCCAAACACTGAAGACAAAAACATAAGTAAAAGTGCAAAAGTCGTATTTGTGGAAAAAGGCACATACAGTGGCTATCTCACCAAGGACAAACACCGTTCGACATCGTTGCTTATATGCTTCAAACCGCATTTTGCCACTGTAAGATTTCAAAACTGTGTAAGCTATCAGGGAAATAACAAGAAAACAAAAAGAGAAAGCGAAGAGAAGGGAAATATCTCAACTAATTTCAGCCAGTTTTTTCTGCAGCGGATTCTTCTGCAGAATCAATTTTTCTTCCTCTTCCTGCACAGCTCTTCGAGATGCTTCAGAAGCATGGCTATCCTCCTTAGGGCCAGAGAATAGCTGTTCCTCTTCTTCCTAAAGCAAATACAGACACTGATGTTTCATTTAATGTTCGATACCCATAACTACAAGAAATTCAGCCACTAACAGAATACGCACCCTGAGGTTGACGCCACTAACTGCAGTGACATCATTAAGCTGTTCAATACTTTGATCTAAAGACGCCCCGACTATTTTTTGCTTCTTGCTGTAAGTCAGTCCATAAAATTTCAATTAGAACTAAATAATAGGTTTGAGCAGCCTGTCACTATAGTTCCCCCGTTTCACAAATCAAATAGATCTGTTACCTTGGTGGTGAAGAACCTAATGTGTCAAGAGGTTTCTTCTGACCAACTGAGGGCTTTTTTGGTGGGGTTTTGACAATATTCGCTGCTGGAGAGGTCCCAGGCAGAGCACGAGAATTCAGCTGATAAATCAAGGAGCAACAGCTCAGTTAGAAGATAATCCATATACTGCGAAGAAAGACAAATTTAAAGGTAAAACAAGAACAAAGCAGAGTCAAAATTCCCTAAATAAAAAGGGAAATAAAATAAAATGAGAGGGTTCATGCACTTTGACTGCATAAGAGCTCAAAGAGCACCAAATAAAGAAAATTTAAAATTGTCTCCTGGCAGCAAATTTAGAATTTATATTATCTGCTCTTTTACCATGGGGGTGGAATCCAGCTGTGTTGTTGAGGGAGTAATAGAGCTTGTATGCACCATGTTCCCAGGCAAGCCTAAAACCATTCTTGAAGTTTGCTTCTCCAAGTCATCCTTCAAAACCCCTGGAGTTGCACTGTTCTGGTCAACTGATACAGAAGGTAGACCCTGTGGCATTGACACATGAGGTTTCTGTTCGAAACTCTGATCAACTAATTCCTGCTTCACATGGGACATTGATGACAAAGGGCCAGATGCCTGATCCTTTGTCACTGATCCTTGCCAAGTAACAGAACTTAAAGGCATGGGTGAATTGCTCTGGAAATGAGATATAGAGCCGCCCTGAATCCTGTTTGGATCATTTACAGAAGTTGGTCTCTCAAACTTCGGCATAGTCATCATATTTGTTGTAGACGGGGTTGACCCTCCAAAAGTATTTGATCCTAAACTTGGATTGTTTGCCAACTGTCTCATTTGGGCGCTATGCAGCTGCGGTCTGATAGATGAGCCGGAAGTGTTGATGTTTGATCCAGGATATGGGCTAAAAGTACCAGAACTGTTTCCATACATAGGAAAAGAACTTGATGGAAGTTGCATGTGCTGCTGTGGATGCTTGTTAAGCCCTTGAACAGGAGCTGCAGTGCTTAAGACGCCTGAAGCTGATGAAGACATTTGGTTTACATGGATTCCACGAGGATCGGACTGAGATTTTTTAGCACCGATTTCTGCAGCTGAATAGATTGAATAAGGCATCGATTTTGGCCTTTAAAAGGGAATAAAAAAATGCATATACTGGAAATTCAAAATGTTTTCATAGTTGCAAAAAATGAATTGATTGAGTATATACCAGCCTTAGTTGATGGCACTCCGGGATGGCTTGGGCGTACTGGAGCTTGAATTCCCATCTTGCCCTGTTAATATTTCATCTGAAACCAGTGAGTTTACAAGTAAAGAAGTGTTCAACTCATACCACAGAGGTCAAACCAATGCTGCAATTTGTAAACTGGTGTGTAACGCAACATTTTCTAGAGAAGGCTTCTTTCTAATTTTATGAGCTTATGTTTTTTTCTAGTTATATTACACAACTAAAGATAAAACAACAATTGTTTACCCTTGAACAATTGAACGTGAGGTTCTGATCATATATATGCGGGCCCTTCTACAACCCCACTCGACAAAAGTTCATACTCGATTGCTATCTCGCAATACTCACTGAGTAAGTTTAACCCTGTTCTAATATTTACCCTATAACTGGAGCGTGCACAGCAAAGATAAAGCTAGAAAATGAAAATTGGTATGGCAAGTGATGTGGATGGTATGGGTAAAACTGCATGTTGATTGCAATAGAAAGAACTCATGGTTGGCCAGTATAGGAGGAAGTCTGATACCATTTGAAAGCACTGAGATCAAATCAACAGGCAAATGCAAACTTCATTGTATACCTTGCATTAGCAGTTATGCAACATAATATCTAGAGAACAATACAAAATAATAGTACCTGTTGCAGTTTGCTAACTGCCAACCTCAGCATCTGATCACCTACAATATCTTTCATATGCCGTGCGAATCCATCTTTTGGAATTTCATTATTCTGTCACCATGTATCAGAAGAAAAGTGATGATACTACAAGAGATCCAGCGATTTTATAGTGAACATGATGCTGAAATTTCATGAAAAGTGTAGACCCACCTTGAGTCTAGCATACAGGGTATGGAGCTGCATTGCTCTATCTTTATCGAGTTGGGCCACTAAGGTCGGCAGCAATACGCCAAATGGCACTTGCTTAGGGCCACGATTCATAGGATTAACTGGCTGTTCCACTGCACGAGCCTGTTGGCTACTCAACTTCTGCAATCTCAGGTACTGAGATTCACTCTCTTGATTATGTGATCTCTCAGGTTCATTAGAAAGAGGATTCTTTTCAGAAACCTGCAAACCAGTCGTTTGGGGAACCTGGGGAGGCTTTTCCCCCAGTTGACCTGGTTGACGATGGTCTGGAGGCTGGCTATGCTGTAAATGGGGTTCATTCACCTGTTTAATATCATTTCGATGCTGATTATCTATGGCTGATCCTTGGTGCTCCATCATCTGAGTGCTCTCTAGGCTGTGCTGTCTATGGAGGTTGGTATTAACATCTCCAATCCCATTCTTCCAAGTTGCTAATCCCTGGCTTGAAGGATGATCGCTTCCTTCAGGCACAATATCCCAGGCCGTTAATTGATGTAACTCAGAATCCCATGTAAACGTGAGAAAAATTCAGATAAAAAAAAAAGAGAAAACACAACCAGACAACATTAACTAGCATTTCGTTGTCGCATATGACTCTGAATAGTTCATGTTCTGTAATTTTCATATATCCATCACATCCAAATGGAACTCCTAAACCAGCACGGATATATATCAAAAGAGATAACTTCAGCACTTGAGGCATAGAAAGAAAAAGAATAAGCAGCGACACTATGAATGGCAAAGTAAGAAGATATGAAATTGAGCACTTGGAAACTTAATTGTTAATGTTCCACATTAATCGACTAAAAACATAGAACTTAGCATCATCAAGGCATCAGCTGGATCATCAAGGGATCAGTAATTATCCCAACAATCAAGAACACATAAATCATCTAAACTAGTTAATGACTTCACATCAGCCGTGACAATGTTGCCCAAACAAGCTGACAGCCAGCATATTTCATTACAACTTTAGCATAGTTATTTGCATATCTAGGCCCAAAAAGAATCCTACATTCAAGTCTCTTCTTTCGCTTTTAATCTGAGACGTACTAACATATTAGTAGATTCTCCAAGTCTCCATCATGCCTTATAATAAAGGTAGCCCAAAAACCAGTTTCTATAGCCATTCACATGTCAATACCAACTGAAGCATCTAAGAATTTGCAAACTGTTCAAAAAATATATATCAAACCAAAGATTTCCTGAAGTTGGCCTGAACTAGGGTTCAACTTCGCCATTTTTTCCAACAGAATCAAGTGAAATTTCTACAAGCTGGATCTTATGGGTAAGTTTTTTGGATCATACATATATCAGCTAATAATCTCACAGATTCCCCTAGCATTCACATGTCAGATGGCTTATAAAAAAGCATAAAGCTGTCTTTACGAGCACTCATGCATCTAAACCAATCGAAATAACTAAGAATTTGACAATGTTCTTCATTAAGCATTCAAAGACCTTCATTATTTTTGCAAATTTTCAAAAATTAGTATGAAATAGGTTTCAACTTCAGCTTTCCATTCTTCCGATGAAACTAGCACAAAACCAGGGATGCACCACACAATGCAGTAATATTCTCCGACTAAGATTCTAAGCAACCATTTTCTTTTCAAAACATCCAAAACCCACAGAAAGAGGTATGCGTTGAACCCGAAATGACAAAATGAATCTCCCCCAAAACCCATACCGATGTTCGTCACAGACGGCTGCGAAGTCGACATAGAACCTTCGATGTCTCGATTCAGAGCAGCTTGGAACGCGTCAACATCAGCTCCCGAGTGCATAGATTCATCCTGACCGCAGAATTCGACGGAATCAAAATCCAGAAGCTCAAAGACACACACAGGTGACGAAACCCCGACAGAAGTGTGAAATTAGAAACCTAACCTCGTCTTCTTCAAGGAGCTTGACTATGGAGGGATCCATTTAAAACTTCCCACTGCGGCGAAGAAGATTCTCGGGAGAAGAGAGATCAGAAGGAAACAGATGTTTGAAATCGAACTGGTGAAATATATACAGAGAGTCCTTTCGGAGGACGATTGGGGGAGAAGTATGTACCGTGGAAGGGGGGTTTTAACCCTAATAACCCACTTCGTTCGCAGCAATTTCAGGGTACACCACCGAAAAAAAAAAAAAATTTTGCGACCTTATTACGACTAATATATAACTAATATACAACTTATTACGACTAATAAACTACTCTTTAATAAGTTGTATATTAGTTATATATTAGTCGTAATAAGGTCGCAAAATTTTTTTTTTTTTCGGTGGTGTACACTGAAATTGCTACGATCCAAATGGGTTATTTGAGTAATATTCCCCCGTGGAAGAGCCCTACATAAAGAGGAACGTTACTCGGAAAGCTCGTGACGTTTCTTATTTTAAGGAAAGCACATCATGTCGTTTTCCTCTGTACTCTGAGTACAAACGGCATCGTTTAATCCGGCTCGAAATGTTATTGTACAGTCTGTACTGCCAAAGGAAGATAAGAAACTGCTCGGCGTTTTTGTTGTGGGGAACAACACTTCTTCCCGTCTGAATCCAAATGCGGCCATTTTAACGCGGCCCGAAATATTAAATGTATTGCCACCGTTACACTTCTGCCGCTGCCATTAACGAAGAACCAGAGCTCGTCATGAACATCGTTGGCTTGGCGAAGCGTCGTATCTCTCTGGGGTTCTCCGATCGATGCTCTCTCTCCGGAAAAAGCAATGTCTCGATAGAAGCTTTGGTCGCTGGTCGGAAACTGAGACTCGGATATTCTGGTCGGTTTCTTCACCATTTCCGTAAAGTAGGGGATTTCGGAATCTCTCGTCTTGTCTGCTTGACGTCCCCTTCGCGCCGTTTATCGACGAATTGTTCTTCTTCTTCTTCGAAAGTTGGATTTCTTCGATGGTATTTGAGGAAGCTGGATTCGCACCCTTTCATCACCAAGAGCATCACTACATCGCTCATTTACGCCGCCGCTGATCTGACATCTCAGGTGAATTTATTATTAACCCCCTTTTTATGTTCCTCGCTATGCTTCCTACGAAAATTCAATTCAATTTGCTATATGTAGTTTTAGTATTATGTGGAAAAATCAAGCTATTTCCACTCTGATTTAGCATTAACGAGGGAAGAAAGCCTTTGCAGTTTAGAAGTTCTGGCCCTGTTCCCTTCTGAAATCAGATTACAACCTATGTTACCGAATTTAGGAAAAGTGTTGAATTGAGATTTCTAGATGTTGATTTCCTTTAATCCAATTGCCATTTTAGCTATTTGGGGTTCCAACGAATTGGGAGAACATGTTCTGATATGGTTCACATTCGTCTTATGATCAATTCAGTTATCATTTCGATCCCATTTCTTTTATTTGGATGCTAGAATCTATTCGGCGAGTGCCCATTCTTGCTCATTTTTCTCGATTCCGAATCCTCGATGGAGTTAGATTTTGTTAGATTGTCTGGAAAGCTTGCTATATCAATGACAATGAGTTTATCTTTCTCTTTAGACATATAGCCTGTAACTCCACTATTTGGTTAACCCCTTCCATCTCAATGGCTTCTCTTTGCCATCATGCACTCTTATCGAAACTTGAGATTGGTCATAGCTCTAACCCGAATGGCGTTTTCAAATTTCTGTATTGTCATGTTCAAACTTTGACATTCATATCTGTTATCTAACATGGAGATTGTTTTCCTTCTTATTCATGTTCATTCATTCCCAAATCATTATGTAGATGATCATGATGCCGCCATCTGGTTCCTTTGACTTGATAAGAACATCTCGAATGGCTAGCTACGGGTTGCTGTTTCTTGGGCCATCACAGCATCTTTGGTTCAATTTTCTCTCAACAATCTTGCCAAAACGGGATGTCCGGACAACCTTGAAGAAAATAATAATGGGGCAAGCTATATATGGACCTTGTGCAAACACAGTCTTCTTCTCCTACAATGCTGCTTTACAAGGTACGAATACATTTGGACTCTGTTAGTTGCTTTCAGTCGATTTCTGGACATGTGAATGTGATTGAAAGTTGAACATTGTTCTTAGTATTTTTGTAGAATCTTTCATTGATCTCCGATCTTAATATCTGACCATAATGCATGTTTATGTTTATGAAGCTCTTGGATAAGTTCATTCGTGCATACAAGTAAATGGATGTCATTATATAGTTCTACATGATGTCGGTTAAGGACCCGAGTTTTGTTTGTGCCCTATATCTCTCCATGCTAAACATGCATTTGTTTTTTGATGTATGGGGCACCTCATAAAAGGCGAAAATTCCGAGGAGATCCTGGCCAGATTGAAACGGGACATGATTCCTGCATTAAGAAACGGGCTTATATACTGGCCGATCTGTGATTTCGTCACGTTCAAGTTCGTGCCCGTGCATCTACAGGTAAAACCCGATGTAACCTTGTCTTCGTCTAGTATGCCCGTATCTCTTTGTAAAAGTGGTTTCCTAAAAGCACTGAAGTTTTCATCTTGTACCTTAACTTGCAGCCATTGATGAACAGCTCGTGCGCGTATGTATGGACGATCTATCTGACGTATTTGGCGAGCCGGAAGAAGGTTACGGCTGAATCAATGGCTAGTTAGCGACTTAACCCGAAAATTTTTCGGGTTAGCTGAAGGCTGGTAAGAGAGAATCACTCTATGCATTGCAGCAACGGCAACTACATCACAAGTAGCTAACCAAATAATAGCTGATTTATTTATGCGTACATCTAGGATTTGCAAATTTCTATAATCGATATGTTTTTTATTCTTTAATTAAACTTTTTTACGACAATTCTTTTTCATTTCCTGCCTTACAATTTACAAATACATCACATTTTAGAGGTTTCAAATAATCACCTATAAAAAAATTAACTTGACTATTCAAGTATTTAAAATATTAATAAAGTATTTGAAATTAGAATATTTAAAAGCTAAAAAAAATCGGATCGATTTTTAAAAACTTGAAACCAAACCTAACCGCTTGGAAGTTGAAGGTAAGTAACGTCAAATTTTTAACCACCTAACTTGCACACATTAAAATTTTCAAAACTCGACGTTTTGTATTTAAACACAAACATTAAACAAAAATAAAGTTCGCAGAAATTTTGAATTATTTTGTTTTCCATTTTTTTCCAAAAAGGAAAAAAAACAGGTCGTTGATATTTTTGAGGGGGAAAACCAACGGGAAACATCCACGTGGGAAAACTAAAGCCGACCGACACGTCGCTGATGCATCGCAATCAACGGCAGTCGGACCCACACTGTACGCCTTACACGTGTCGAAATCTCGGCAAGTGATAACGTCAGTTGCCGAAGGCCGCTGTTAGTTGGCCGCCTCTTTCGTTAAAAGTTGGACGTTTATACTAATAAATTATAATCAAAATATTTTACTAATTACCCAAAAGGCAGTAATCTTCAATATTACGCTAACACTAATAAAGTATTTCCCTTTTTTTATAACTTTGTTCGAAATTCTATTTCATCGGCTCAAGTAAGGTCTCTCCTTGATCCATTAATTTCGAAATTCACATTTTATAACCATCAATTTGTTACTAAAATACCCCTCAGGATTAGATTAGTGTTAATCTTCTGCTTAATCTTTGTATATAAATACCAGAATATCAGGGACAATCAGTTTTCGGAGGTTGGGCTTCACATCATACACCTCTCTCTCTCTCTCTCTGTGAAGGACGGAGAGAGAAGTTTCATGGCGAGTCTACGGTGGCGGCAATGGTGGAACACGGTGGCGTTTCCAACGAGAAGAATCTGGAACCGCGTCGGCGTCCGCCTCGGCTTCCGCAACACCGGTAAGCCCCTCCGCCGTCCATTTTTTTACTCCGTTGGAGATAGCCGGAGAAACTTTTTCCGATGTTATCATCCGTTCTAATTCGTTTTTCTTACTCTTTTAAGTCGCGATGTATGATTCTATAACTGTCCTGATACGATCGAAGATTTTATCTGACCTTTGATTAGATTCAATTTGTGTCCGATTCCGAGGTGAATTGAAGTGTGGACGATTACAACGCGGTACAAATCTTGATTAGGGTTTGTAGATTTACAGTTCAATTCTTGATTAGGGTTTTTAGATTTAGGTCTAAGATTCGAGTTATTATATGCCATGTTTACAGTAATCGTTATGCTCTCGGATTTCTGCCCGCGTTGTAATTTCGAAATGCAAGCTTGAGCTCTGTTTAGTGACTGAATCCGAGATTTCATTGCCCTAATGTGGACAGGACTGCTGAAGTTGCAACACGACGTGAGATCCTGTGAGTACGAGGATATACATATAATGTGGGATCTGCTTCACAAGAATGAGGATCTAGGCCGATCACGTTGGATTCAGAAGAAAAGATGCTGGAATCTCCTCAGTTCATATCTCTGCCAAAGATTCTGAGAACACCCCTCCTTCCCCTCCCCCCCCCCCCCCACCTATCTTCTTAA